GAACTGCTTTGGACCAGAGACTGCTATTCGTCTTCAATTCTTTCCTTTCTTAGATAGATGTTTGTATTGAGGTTATTCTTGCTCTACCATTGTATATTTTGTTTTTTTAGTTCATAAGGAATGATATCAGAAGCTGACTGAGAGACTTGGAGCTGAATATAGTCACTGGATGGGATTTGGGGTTATCTCCCTTGGGAAGGGATGTGTTCTCTCTGTGAGAAGAGCAAAAGACAGGTATTTGGCTCAGAGAGACAGACTGAGGCAGACTGACACACACAAAAATCTGTGTTTTCTTCTTCCTAAACCTATATTCAGGCTTCATGTCCCAGTAGGGTTGCCAGATTTAGCAAATAAAAACACAGGATGCCCAGTGAAATTTGAATTTCAGATAAACAACAAAGAATTTCTTAGTGTAAGTATGTCCTGTGCAACATTTAAGGGACATAATTATACTGAAAAAAATATTTGTTTACCCCAAATTTAAATTTCACTGAGCATCCTGTATCTCATCTGGCAACCCTACTTCCCAGCCTCCCTTGCAGTTAGATGCGGTGTGTGACTGAGGTCTGGCCAGTGGCATGAAATGGAAGTGATGTGCATCTCTCCCAGGCCTGGCCTCTTAAAACCTCTCCAAAAGCAGAGGACTTTGAGCATCTAGAGGAGGGGAGAGTCACAAAATGGAAGGAGCCTGGGTCCCAAATGACTGGACAGAACAGCCCTCCCTCCTCAAACCTGCATTAGACCACAACGTAAACAAGAAAGAACTTGTATGATGAAGCCACTGAGTTTTCGAAGTTGTTGATTACAGCAGTCTTTTTTTTTTTAAGGTTTTATTTATTTATTTGAGAGAGAGAGAATGAGAGATAGAGAGCACGAGAGGGAAGAGGGTCAGAGGGAGAAGCAGACTCCCCGCCTAGCAGGGAGCCCGATGCGGGACTTGATCCAGGGACTCCAGGATCATGACCTGAGCCGAAGGCAGTCGCTTAACCAACTGAGCCACCCAGGCGCCCTACAGCAGTCTATCTTGAATAATATCCCTAATCCCTAAATTCAATAGCTCTTCTCATCCTTTCCTTAACAGCCTTTGACCTTGGTAGCCATTTCTTTCTTTTTGAAACTCTCCCTTCTCCGATACTATTTTTTTCTAGTGCTTTAATGATGATGATGATGAGCAGGAGGAGGAGGCGAAGGAGGATTAACCACCATTCACAAAGTTCTTACTATGGGCCAGGTGCTGTGCTAAGTGCTTTATCTAGTATCTCATGTAATCCTCCTAACTACTCTGTGTGGTAGGTGCAATCACCCCCATTTTCAGGGTGAGAAAACAGGTGTAGAGAAGTTCAACCACTTGCCCAAGGTCTTTCGGGTCCTTCTCTCTCTACACTTTTCCTTTCGACAGTCCCATCTAATCACGGCTGCCCTAATGACTGTGTGTTGTGTGGACGGCTCCCTGACCTCTCTCCTTGTCTCCACTTGCACATTTTCTGGCATATGAATGTGCTGATGGCATTGCAAACTTGTGCAGCTACTCCAGTGTCATGTTGTTCTAAATACTTTTCATTTAACTTCCACGACAATCCTGAGATAGATGTTATTCATATCTACAAGGTAGCCAGCGTTACCCACATTTCACAGACGAGTGAACTGTGGCTCAGAGATTCTGTACCTGGCTCACGTTCATACATGAGTACACAGCAGCTCTCAATGACCTCAGTTCTACTCAAGCTGAGCTCTCCCTGTCCTGTTCTGCTGCCTGCTTCCTATACTCATTCTCTGCCCTTAACTTTCAAATCGTCCCCATCCTTCAGAGTCCAGCTCAAAGGCTATTTCCCCACCATGTCTGTTTGGGTATTCCAAGCTGGAAGGGATCTCCACCTTCCATGAATTTACAGAGAACTTACTCTGTACCTCACTTTTTTTTTTTTTTTTGTAACCATACAAGCAAAACTTTAATCCCTCCTCATCATAAAAAGTTCAAGGAGAGAGGTACAGAGCAAGAAGTTTTGTTTTTTGGGTGCCTGGGTGGCTCAGTTGGTTAAGCGACTGCCTTCGGCTCAGGTCATGATCCTGGAGTCCCAGGATTGAGTCCCGCATTGGGCTCCCCGCTCAGCAGGGAGTCGGCTTCTCCCTCTGACCCTCCCCCCTCTCATGCTCTCTCTCTCACTCTCTCTCTCAAATAAATAAATAAAATCTTTAAAAAAAGAAGTTTTAGTTTTTGTGTTTTTTTAAAGATTTTTATTTATTTATTAATGAGACACGGAGAGAGAGAGAGGCAGAGGGAGAAGCAGGCTCCCAAGGAGCAGGGAGCCCGATGCGGGACTCGATCCCAGGACTCCGGGATCATGACCTGAGCCGAAGGCAGACGCTTAACCATCTGAGCCACTCAGGTGCCCAGAGCACGAAGTTTTTATGGCCCTTCGGTCCCCAGAATTTACCAGTTTCTATTTTTTTTTTAAGATTTTATTTATTTGAGAGAGAGAGAGAGAGCACGAGTTGGGGGCGGAGCAGAGGGAGAGGGACAGACTTCCCGCTGAGTGGGGAGCTGGATGTGGGGCTCGATCCCAGGACCCTGAGATCATGATCTGAGCCGAAGGCAGACACGTAACTGACTGAGCCACCCAGGTGCCCCTACCAGTTTCTATCTTGATTAAAGTTTCTGTGTATCTGCTACCAACTCTATTAGACAATTATTTGAGTACAGAACATGTAGCGAGTCATCTTTAGTCCCTAAAATAGGCATTCATAAACAATTGTTGAAAGAATTGATCGATTTCAAATCCTCTGAGCCTGCACACACTACATTTTTAGATGAAGGTGAGAAGGTCTGTTCAGGAAAAGAAGTGATTTTTTCCCCAAGAGGACTGGTAAAGACATGTCAAACACTCCCTCTCCTCCCACCTTCATTAAAGAACAAAAAAGCATCTACTTCTTAGGTGTATGAAGCGTCTGGTTTCTGTTTTAGCTGGGTCTCAGAAGGAAATGACTTTTCTCTGAAATTGTAGACGCCCAACCCAGCTGCAGCATTGTTAGGCCTCAGGGTAAACAGGAAGCTTCCTGCCTTGGGCCCTTCATGTCCCTCTCCCAGACTATTAACGACTGTTAATAGGATGGTAAAAGGACAGCTGCTGGCCATAAAATCAGCCCATTCCTTAGATCCTTGGAGAATTGCAACTAGATCCCTCCAAGCTCAGAGAGAAAACTGTCTCCAGGTCACACACCAGGTGCGTCCACCTAGCTGGGGTTGTCAGTTATCTCTTCTATGATTAGCTGTAACCATAATGGCCTTTGCAGAATACCAGAGTTTGGTTCCTTGGCATTAGTTGAGAAGGTGGGATTTCCACTTACAGGGTTTCTGGTCCTTGAAACTATTTGTTTCAGGGGCGATCCGTCCTGATTATCCCCCAAAAAGAGGTAAAGAGGAGAATCCATGAGAGCGAAGGATCTAGTGCTCCTACCTCTGTGATACAGGGCTGAAATAGGACCTCCAGTCTTCCTGCACACCGGGTAGAAGTCCCTGGATTTGCAGCTGTTGGTGAGGAGGGAGGTAACAGTTTCTGCCAACTGGAGGGACACTAGGGCAGGGGTTATCCTCTTTTGCCAAGAAGGGCACTCGGGTGTCTTGGCAGAAGGCAGAGGGCTGCCCCGATCTGTGTGTACATTTTCAGAAGCATTTGACTCTGGACCAAATGCTCTCAGCTGTGCTAAAGCTAGGGCGATGGATGGGAAATGCTTATTGGCCAGGCTGACTAGAAGCTCCAACAGAGGGTGCTGGGGCTCAGCCAGGAGCTTCCCTTCAGCTGGCAGGTTCAGCTTTCTGTCATGGTCAGAGGGAGTGTGTCAAAATTCCAATTCTCAGTGCTCTCCAGAAGCTACGATTACCCCTCTATTTTGAAGTTTCTGCTTGTTGGAATTTTTGGCTCAAATAGGGAATGAGTGGTGATGCTGAAGAGCCTCTTACCTCCCTCAAAGAATGAGCACAAATAGCTCAGCAGGAGTCAATGCTCTTACTACAAGTACAGTGATGGGCTCATAACCAAATGGGGGCCAGGAAGATACCATTTCATTCAACCTTGGACTTAGCCACAATTTATCAATTCATGCTGCCTTGTTGGCTCCTCTGCCCCATGTCTACCAATCAAGCAAGCACAGGCACCTGGGCACGGCAGGAAAACCAGTCACCGCTTTGACCGTTTACGTGCCTGGCACAGATTTACTTACACAGGACAGGGAGCCTGATTTGCGACGTGTCACTGCTTTCCCTCATTCAAAGGAAAGGTCACTTAAGTTACTCCTCAGAGTTGCACCTGAAGAGGGAGAGTTTCTTCTGAGTACCAAAAGCAGGAAAACTGGATACCTTCTCCTAAAATCACGTTTGAGCCTCTACATAAGTGTTTAGATTGGGATGATGCCATTGCTTAAGGCAGCTCTTAAGATCTTAGAGCAGAAAGGGACCTACTAGATTATATGGCCTGCCCCCCTCGCCTCTCCCAGGAATATCATTTCCCCCAGTTTCAGAAGAGGTTACTAAGGCTGTGAAAACGCTCCCAAGGTCACACAGCTGGTAAGTGGGGTTTTACTGAGAGGACTAGAATCTGGGTCTCCTGGTTCTTTGTGCAATGTTAGATTTTTTTATTTTATTTATTTATTCATGAGAGACAGAGAGAGAGAGAGAGAGAGAGAGAGGCAGAGGGAGAAGCAGGCTCCCAAGGAGCAGGGAGCCCGATGCGGGACTCGATCCCAGGACGCTGGGATCATGACCTGAGCCGATGGCAGACGCTTAACCATCTGAGCCACCCAGGCGCCCTGTGCAATGTTCTTTTTACCATGACTTTTTCCCTAAGTATTTTGTATTATTTTAAAAACCGTAATTCAGGGGCACCTGGGTAGCTCAGCCGGTTAAGTGTCCGACTCTTGATCTCAGTTCAGGTCTTGATCTCAGGGTTGTGAGTTCAAGTCCTGCCCAGCGTGAAGCCTACTTATAAATAAATAAATAATTCATTGCATGCATAACCAAAAGTTGTTTAATTTGTGTATCTTTGTAAGATTTTTCATATAAATAAATGAACAAATCATGACAATAATCAGAAACAATGTCCCATTTAAAAAAGATGGTCCTACTTTACTTCTTACTGCCAGTACACTGTTCAGGCCTCCACCATCATGTGTGGACTATTACCAGCCTGTCAGCTAGAGCCTTTGATGAAACTGACATTTGAAGTACTCACATTTACATTGACATTTAAATACTTTACATTTAGGTTTACAACTATCTCTGCTATGCTTGGTTGACGAGACAAATGCAAGTGTACTTTAGACTTGGAGAGGAAGATTTCTTCACTTACAGAGAAAATAGGTACTACTCTAAAATTTGCCATAGCCAGGACCAGATGGGGCTTTCCAGTGGCTCAAGCTTCTCCCATTCCTGACCAACCTTCAGAGACTGGAGGTTCCTAAAGGACAGAGCAAGGGTCCCGGGGCAGCACAGACAGTCCCAGTGTCTATCTGTACTTCCAGACCCCTGAGACTCCAGGTCATGTCCAAGGAAGGAAGTTGCAATGTAGGAGCAGTCCCAGGAGCCAGTAAGACAGGAAGTAGCCCAGAATGCATCGTGTGACTAGAGAATAGGTTTTCCAGTTGTACAGAAGTCCCATGATAGAATTTCTGGGGACCTTTTGTCCTGGTAGGGAGTCCCCTGTAAGGGGCTTCCAAGGCACAGTCTCTAGGGATCTCAGCAGTGGCTCTTGATTCTGAAGCAAGTAAGCTGGAAACCAGTACACAATAGGAGTGGAGGAACCCAGAAACCTGGTGAGAACCTGGAAATCATAAGAGGGAGAAAACCCACACATTTATTGGAATATCACTGCTTCACAGTGGACCAGCCCGGGGCTTCCCTGCTGCTCGGTCAACTACAGCCCCATGACTAGAAATGTGTTGTTCTGGATAAAAGATTCAGCAGAACTTAGGATCTGCCTTATAAAGAGCTGTGACACCAGCCAGGTGACCTCAATGTTACAAATAAGCAGAGCTACAGACTAATTACCACAGTAATGGGCCAATCAATACTAAAAACTATGGGGTCCAACTTGAGCCTAGGGCCTGGACTCTAACCGCTAGGCTGTGACACGGGGCTTTGGGAACCCGAAGGGGTTCCCTCATCCCCTAGGGGCGGCAAAACAGAGGGAAATGGGGCAGGGGATCCTGTGGTTCAACATTTTCCCTCCTAGGGGAATTCAGAGCCAAGCCTCCACGTGGCCTCCCTCATCTGAGCTGGAAACTCGAAGCTGTGCTGGCACTCGCTCTACTAGTTAATCCAGCTACAAACACAGAATGCTACTTTCTATTTCCCCTGGGCCTCTTACTCACACAGCTCAGAGAACTTTACAAACAGCCAGTGTGCGCCTCCCAGAGGCAGAAGCTGTTAAGGAGTGGCCAGCGTGGAGGAAACCACTTCCTCCGGGTTATGTGGGAACTGGGGTCGTAGCCAGGAATAAAAAAAATGGAAATATCAAAGGCTTCCCACCCCAAACATTACACAAGGGATCTCCTCTAAAGACGGGGCACCTGCCAGAGCTGAGAGTGCCTCAAGTCACCATCCAAGTAGACCCTCGGGGTAACCGTATAGTGGGGAAGGACCCGCGCTCTCCTCTGTGCTTAGCTACTTCATCTCAGTCACTTCAGGTCCTTCCATGACTCTTGTGTCTCTGCATGCACCCTTCACTTGCCCAGAATACTCTTCCTCTGCTTCTTAAATGCAATTCCTTCTCACTCTTTAGGACCCAGCCTTAATAGGACACCCTCCTCAACTCCTTCAGTCCATTAGCTACTTTCTCCTCTGGGTTTCCACAATACTTTATCTCAAAACAGCAATTCCTCTTCCATCCCACTGTACTAGAATTTTATCTCTTAAGTGTCCTTCTCCCCATTTCTACCAAGAGACCCACTAGGGCAGCCTCACTCATGTTCCATTCCTCAGTGGTCTGACCCAGGGTCTGGACAAAGAAAGCCCCCAAATAGTTGGTGAATGAATAAATTAGATACAGGTCACACAAACGGGAGAAGCTGGCAGTCCTCCTTGACCCTGACCAAGGGGTTTTGCCTGTATTCACACCCTTACCCCAGTCAGGAACCCACCTCACCTGAACATGCATGCATAGACTGCCAAACAGCAACAGCACCGCAGCGTGGGCCAGGTACACAAACACCCGAGGGCCGAGGAATCCAGGGTCAGGTTTCTCTAGGGTCTTGCTGTTCTTGCTCCTGTGCATCCCAAGTGTAAGGCAGAGCCAAGGGTGGGTGGTCACATATGTCCATGTTGCCCAGGCAACCAGCAGAGCCACTGGTGCAGCCAGTAAGAAATTGGGCACCTGCTTGAGCTCATAGTATCTCAGAAAGCCAACATTCCAGTAGATATCCTGGATATAGCTATATATTAGGGGAAGTTCCCAGGAGCACCAAGGTGGCTCATTTCCCTCCACAATCCGGTAGCCCTTGTCCACAGCTAATTTCAGCAAGGGCTCAGGGATAGGGCGGGCTGAGCCTGACAGACAGAACTGGGTATAGGCATAATACTGAAAGAGGGCAAAGGGAAGGCCAAGCGTGAACACAGACAGGAACACAGAGCCCATCAGCTTCAAGAGTGGTCTCAGAGGATTCAGCACCATGAGAGAGGACAGAAAGCCTTGGCACTGAGAATACACGAGGAAGCCAATGTTGACCAGCCCATTGGAGCGTACGCCAGTGGCAAGGGCAAAGAGGAGTCCACTAGTCCAGCTTCGGCCCCTTTCCAGCTGCCCCATGGCGCTGAATGTCAGGAGGGCAAACAAAGCTTCTGAGTAACCAGCTGCCAGAAAGACATTGGCGGGGCTGAGGCAGAAGAGTAGGGCTCCATAAAAGGCCTGGCGGGGACAGCGCAAAACCAGATAGCCCAGGTCGTGAAGTGCGACAGCGGCCAGCATGGAGAACAAGGAATTGAGCAATGCTACTGAGATTAACAGGCGACTCCGTAGGTTCAGTAATGCCTGCAGGGGCCTCAGCAGTTCAGCTCCCACCAAGAGAGCCAGGGGGAAGCCAGGGAAGAAGGCAAAGTTGTGCTCATACAGATAGCCATGCTCGGCAATGAACAGGAAGTGTTCGGCATCCCAGTGAGACAGGCCACCCAGGAGACCTTCCACAAGTTGGTCCACAGAGCCTGAGGGGGTGAGGCGAGGAGGAGAGAAGGCTTCTGCATGGTGATCAGGGATGATGGCATTGAAGAGAGCCTGTGGGATGAAGGAGAACTAGGATTTCGGTTGAGCAACTGGAAGGAAAGAATTACCATTTAATAAAATGAGGAAGAACACGGGCGCCTGGGTGGCTCAGTTGGTTAAGCGACTGCCTTCGGCTCAGGTCATGATCCCGGAGTCCTGGGATCGAGTCCCACATCAGGCTCCTGGCTCAGTGGGGAGCCTGCTTCTCCCTCTGACCCTCTCCCCTCTCATGCTGTTTCTCTCTCTCTCTCTCAAATAAATAAATAAAATCTTTAAAAAAAAATGAGGAAGAACAGACTTGTTGGAGGACAATTAGGAGTTCAATTCTAGACTAGTTAAGTTTGAGTTACATATTCCAGGGCAGAGGTCAACAAGACAGTGAGATATGAGTCTGAGGGTCAGGAGAGCGATCAGGGGCTGGAGACATAAATTCAGATGTCATAAGTGCACAAAAGGTATTTAAAGGCATGAGACTGAATGAGATCACCTGGGGAGGGATGAAGCAGGGCTAGAGAAAAGAGATCTGAGGATTTGGCCCTGGATGTGTCAACATTTAGAGGCTTGAAGGAGAGTGAGGATCCAGAATGAAGATAAAGAAGGAACAGTCATTGAGGTATGAGGAAAACCAGGAGAGCAGGGTGTCTTAGAACCAGGTGAAGCAAGGGAGTGATCAGTTCTGCTAGTAGGTCAAGGAAGATGGGGACTGAAAAGTGACCGCTGGATTTAGAAATGTATAGGTTACCTCACTGCTTCAGTAGTGAAGGTACACAGGTGCAGATGTAGGCATGGGATGGATGTGGGGGGAGCATGCACAAGGTCACTTCTGATTGGACCTATTTTTGTGAGTTTTCGCTCAGAGAAGCAAGTTGGGGAAAAGGTGTTAGGGACTTGAATAGAAAGATAAACATGTAAAATAGGACATCTATGACCCCTAGTTCTCAAAATAGGCTGTGCACTGGAATCATCCAGGGAGTTTCAAAAATACTGATGTCTAGATGTCTGGGTCCCTCCCCCAGGATTAATGATTTAACTGGTATAGGATACAGCCTGGGCATTGAGGTTTTTTTTTAAGCTCCCCCAGGTGATTCTGATGTGCAGAACCATTTCAGAGAATGGCAGGGTGAATGGGCCAGGGCAGTAAGATCACCAGGTAGCACTAAAGACTCACTTGGGTCAAAGATCTTGAAGAGAAAGAGACCAGTCAATACAGCTGTGTGTTTCTCTCTGGGCACGATGAGAAGTAGAGAGAGAACGAAACTGAACCATGGCTGGGCTTCTGTCTTGTGACCAAGCTGGGGAGCAGGTAGCAAGCAAGTTGTGCATGTGTGCCTGGTGGATCACGGAATCTAAGAAGGGGTGCAGAAGCCAGAAGGTGGGTGAGGCACAGCAAAACGGTGGGAGGATCAGTGGATTATAGGTCCTGAGGGGAAGAGCCGTTAGAACTGGGGTACTAGAGGGAGTGAGCTGGAAAGATAGGAGATAGTGGTTGGTTGTATCAGCTTTATTAATACTGAAACCACCAAGAGATCAACAGGAGTGCTGGAAAGTGCAACAGTGAATCAGGAGCTAAAACCTTTAAGGAATGAAGAGGAACGAGCTGTCACTAACAGAGATGACAGCAACAGTGAAGGGTAACTGGGGAGATCATCTGATGGCATGAGCTTTAAAGCTGGAAGGAGGGTGGGGGAGAGAGAGGGATAATGAAATAGCATTATCATTAAATGTCTTTATGCATCGTTAGATTGTCAGCTACTCAAAGGAAAAGAGACCGTGACTTTTCCTTCTCACCACCTAGCACAGTTCTTGGAACAGAGCAGGCACATAACACAATCCTGGGTGAGAGGAGAGGAGACAACTCATTTCCAAATCACTATCTGAATTAGTCTTGCTTCCCTATCCCAGATGCCAGTTCACAATCCTGCCCCCAGGAGCCTGCCAATCACTCATCTGATACTGTTCAAAGCCATCGCTGGGTCAGTTTCCCCAGCCCTACAACCGGGGTATAAGCCCATTCTTAAGGCTCTTTTTGGTCAGTTTCTTTATCAGGCCACTTTAAACAGTGAAAACGAATGGGGCAGGAATGACAGCCCCAGTCTCCAAGCTGAAGCTACTTTTAACTAAAACCTGGGGCCCAGCAGAGGCTGCTATGCCTCATAGTGCAGGAAGGGAGAAAGGAGGTTTCCAGAAAGGAAAAAGAGGACCCCGAGAAAATGGCATTTGTGGAAAAAAAGAGCACATGTAATTATGTTAATATAACACCACGAGACTGTTGACATACATTCAACAACACCACATACTGAGAACATACTAAGCCACTGGGCACTGTGCTAGGCATCAAACAGAATTCATATATATGGGAAATTTGATTAAAATATATATCAAGAGGAAGCTTGGAGGGGAAAGGAAGTTGCAAAAGTGCAAATGCATTCTGAGGGTTGTAGTGGGTGAGGCAGCAAGGGGAGACACCTGGGGGAAGAGCCGGGGACATTGCTGACTAACCAAATACACTCAACTGACTGACTCTGTGCTCCGTCTCCTGGTAAGGAGACCCAGGGCAATGCCTTGGGCTGTCGCGCCCTAAAAACATCTCTGGTTATAGAACCTCATGGTCCACTGGAAAGACCACTAGCTCAGGAGTTAGGAAGGCTGGGGTCTGATTCTGGCCCTTCTCTAACTTGCTATGTGACTTTAGGGAAGCCATTGAATCTTTCTGGGCCTCTGCTGCTTCATGTGTAAAACAAGGGATTAATAGACCATTTCTGGGGTGCCTGGCTGGCTTGGTGGGTAGAGCACGCGACTCTTGATCTTGGAGTCGTGAAGTTCAAGCTCCATGCTGGGCATGGAGTTTACTAAAAAAAAAAAACAAAAACGTAGACCATTTCTAAGAGTCCTGCCCATCTTTTGGTTATCAGGTGTAGGTGTTCCAACCACATGGAAGGGCACACCTGGGAAGCAGAAAGAATATGGGGATGATTCTTAGTGCCTAGCCTAGTCATGTGGCAACAGCATGTTCGGGACAAAAGATTAGAGACTGACCTGAAGCATCAGAGTCAGGACGCGGCAGCTGACTGCAAACCTCAGCACCTCTTTCCTGGACGGGTCCAGGGGCCACATCCTCTCACCACCGGGAATTCAGGGATGTTGCTGCCTGGACTGAGCTCCCTCAGGCTTCTAAACTCCAAAACCCAAGGAGGAAACATCACACATGGGCCCAAAGTAAATATTATTATTTTTTTTCCACAAAAGTAAATTCTTGAAAGCATTCTTCACAGGAGACTCCCCCTTCAGCATTACATGGCAAACTTAACTGCCTAACTGCCCAGGTGAGGGAACAGCATTTTGAAGGCAGATGGGACCACTTGGTGTCACTTTGAAGCACTGTATTGGAGGACTATTCTACACAGATAGGCATGAAGTTGGCAGCTAGGCTCACAGAAAATCTTCAAAAGCCTGTTGGGTACCCCTGTGCAGAAACTAAAGACCTGGGTCCTGACTCTGTCACTCACAAGTTCTCATTCAGTCCTTCTGAGCCTCAGTTCTTTAGGTATAAAATGGGATCAGACTGTTGTTGTTTTTTTAAAGACTATTTTCTCTCACAAAATTGTCATGATGGTGAAGTGGACGAAAGTGTGAAAAAGTACCACCGAATCCATGTTGTGGTTGCTATTATTTGGTGTGTGCCCTTTTCCTCTTGCCCAGAATAATAAACTAGATCCCAAACCAGAGTCCCAGAAGTGGGGCACAGAACTCAACTGGAAGACCATAATGACTACACACTCTAGCCTAGCTCTCTGATGTGTGTTCAGCTGGTCTGTTAAATTAAGTGGAGAAGGAAAAGAAAACCACCACTCAGCAGGACTTCAGCCAGCTCACATTGCTAAAACAAACTGAGGGGGAAGACAGAGTTGACTACTAGGGATGGAGAAAACTGTTATTTCCCCATCTCTTTGTTGGAATGGCAGCAATGTATAAACAACTGCAAAGCCATTCTGAGGCAAGGAATGAACTTTAAGGCTTTTTTTTTTTTTTTTTAACACAACTCCTTGGGCTAAAAGAAGTAGCAATGGCTCCTAAAGAACATTCAAATACCAGTCTGGGAAATCAGAAGTGGGGGCAAGAGCACCAGAGGCAGTTCACTGATTTGCGGTGAACTATCCCTAAAGGAAAAAACATTTCAACTGAGAAATTAACAGGGAGGGCTGGAAGACTTTCCTTTCTTATCTAATATCTACCAAACCTTTAGGTACCATTTGTTTCTGGAATTCTTCTCTGATGCTCACTAGACTATTTGATATGCTCTCTTTGCACTCTGCTTCGTCGTCTTTACTGCTATTGTTTAACTAAGTTGCTTGTGAGGGCAGGGGCTCTGTCTATCTTGCTCCCAACTACACCTGCAGGGCCTGGCATTACAGACAGGCACTTCAAGCCCGTGTTCTCACTGAGCAGAAGTGGCAAGAACAAGATATGGCATCACCAGTTCACTGGCTCGGGATATAAAAATCACTGCTATAAGTACTCCTCTCACCATATCTCATGTTAAGATCAAGACCTAAGTCACAGAAGCCACAGGAAAATACAATTTCCCCAGCAAGGGAGCAAGATTGGCCAATAGCAACAGTACACGTTCCTCAGCACAAGGGGGCGCCTGCTGCTCACTCCATCACCAGGAGGCCTGGAGGAAGGGAGGGGCCGTTGACGCCACACCGGTTTGCTCATCAAAATTCAGTTCAAAGGCAAGCTTTTGAAAACCCCAGAGAGCCGCTGTAGTTTGTGAATCCACCCAACATTTCCAGCATCTGACTCGCGGAATCGAGAGGAATTGCAGAAACAAGTATGGCCAACCTCACACGGCTGCTGATTCTCTAGCCTAGGGTGAATTCACTTTTTCCCTTCACTTCCCACCCACATGCATTAGAAATGTTGGGGACAGAAAAGCACTTAACCCACCTCTGCCTCTTCACCGGGCTTCCAGTCTTCCTTTCCTCTCTCCAGAGTCAAGCTCTAGCCCCAGCGACCACAGGAGACTTGTAACCTACACTTAGCTTACAGGTAAACCGAGTAAAAATAAAATAAAGCCAGTGAGTTGTCCCTCTCTGCTAGTTGAAGACCTCACTTCCCAACAAGGCCTTTGCGAAATCACAGTCTCTTGAAATGGCAGGACACTTAGAGCAACTAGTTTTACTCTATTTTCCCGTGAGATAAATATGCCCAGAGTGGTGAGTAATAAAAATCTCCATGGTTTTTACATCCGATATCTCATTAGACCCTGTGAGGCCAGTATAATTACCATCGCCATTTTATGGATGTGGAAACTGAGGCTCATTGGGGTCAAGTGACACACCCTAGGCTATATTTAAAGAGAATGTCATCTTTTCCCCTTCTGGAACCTCATGGTCTTCCCACCGGCCCTCAACAGGGCCAAAGGGATGTGCTCTTTCAGAGCCAGGGTAACAACCCAGGACTCCCAACTCCTAGCCCAATACTTGTCCAAAGACAGCGCATGCTCTTACTGGGTATGCTTAGGAAAGGGAGGGCCCTAGCTGAGACTCTGGGGAAGCCTGAATTGGAGCCCTGGAGCCCTGGAGTAAGACAGCGTCCTCTGTAGAGTGGGGAAGTCTCCGTGACCCAGGGTCCTCGGGGCCAGAGGCGCTGCTGGCTGTCGCGAGCCAGGGACCGCCTTCTGCCACCCCAGCCGAGTCCGAAGCCCATTCTAACCCTTTCCTTTCGGACACAGTCCCAAACGGGCCGTGGGCACCTCCTCTCCCCAAAGGGGCCACGGCGCAGGGGTTACTCCCGAGGCGGCCGGCGGGGCCCGGCCTGACCCGGCCTACGGCCGGAAGGCAGGGGAGGGCCAGAGGCTGTAAAGGAAGTGGCGGCACCCGGAGGCCGCTATGGCGGAGGGGCGGGGCTCCCCGCTTCTCGGCGGCCTCCGCCTCATTTCCCTCGGCCTCGGTTTGACGACCTCCCTCCCCCCGAAAACTCCACGGCTCGGGAGCTGGCGCCGGGTCCACAGCGCCGGCCCGTCTCGACCTCCCAGGCGGGGCCCGAACCTCAGCTCCTCCATCCGGGGACCCCGAGCGGCCCGCGCCTGCGCACCGGCCCCGCCGAGGCGGCCCCGCCCCCCTCCTGCCTGGACTCGGAGCTGCCCCGCCCCCCTCCGCGGCGGCCATGTTGACTCCGGGCGCGCGGGGCGGGGACGGCGTAGCTCCAAGACTCCGTGCCCTCCGCCTTGGCACCTTCCCGCCTTGGTGACACCTGAAGAGTTCCCTTTGGCGCTTCGCGCGCCTCAGGTCACCTCCCCGCCTTCAGTTAGCCCATCCGTGCTGCTATGGCAGAGTCGGCGCTCTCGCCCGGGTTGCATCCCACAAACGTCCACTGAGTTCCCGATGTGTGTGTGCAGAGGAGGCTCTCGGAGTTGGGGGCCGCCCCTCGGCCTCTTCGCAGAAGCCAGAGCCGCGCTTTCCCTGCTCTGAGGCACCAACCGCTCAGCACAGGGCCTGGCACACAATAGATGGTCTCTGAATAGAAAGAGGAGCCTTGGGGGTTCTGTGGCCAGCAGTGGTACCCAGCGTCCTGGGTGTGAGGAAAGTGGGGGATCCCCCTGCCTTTTCCCTCCTCCAGATACCGGGGACCTCGTGTCCGACTTCGATCCTCAGCCCCACCTCAGGTGGCTAACGAGGACGGTGCTGAGAAGGCCCCCCAGGACTCTTCCTCATTCAAACAGTTGCTCTCGTGGGAAGTGGGGCCAAAAAAGAAGCAGCAGCAGCAGCTAACTCAACAAAACCGGCTGTTAGGGAGGAGCGGCCAGTGGGTACCCCTGTAACGGAAACTGTTAGAACAACTTTGCACCCTCCTTCAAGGAAATAGATAATAAATCCTTCTCCGTTGGTGGATTTCTTGTTTCTCAGGATTCCAAAGCCTTCTGTGGTTTCAGTTATCGGCCCCCTAAACGGAGCTGGGGTCTGGGTTAGCCTCCAGCCACAGACCTGGATAGGGAGGGGTTTATCTTCTGCCACAGCTACTAGTGTGGGTGGGAACAAAGGGATGGTTGCTATCTCTCCAGGCAAAGAAAACTAGCCTACATCAGTTCTGTGGGGGCCAGGCACTGCACTTTTAAATTCTAACTCATTTCAGGCTCTGACACCTAAGCTGCCCTAAGAGACTGTTGTGTGTGAGGTGGATAAAGTAGAAATCGCATGTTAGTCCTGAGTTGGAGAAGGGAACGAAAATGGAGAAGACTCTTCCCCAGTTTTTTTCAGTGACACACACTTGTTCTCAGCTCCAGAAGCCTGTCACTGAATTGGCAAAGCTGTGGTGCACACTCGTGACTAGGGCCTGAAGTTGTGGCTTGAATCTCTAGAAGTCCATGAGGCTCCCAGCAGCACTGTTTGCAAAGACAAAACCGAGCAATGAACTGTACTTGCTTTGTGAATTCACAAGGGAAAAAGACATGCATTCTTAAGGTTTCCTCCATCCACACCAAATTCCCTCAAAAATCTGTTTGTAAAAAGGACAGGGGTCTCTTGTGATAAGTCAGAATGTTTCCTAACAGCTCAACTGTCACCCATTAGAGGTAGAACTTTGTCCAGATCTTCAGCTCTACTTTCCAGCAATTTCTCCTTCCTTTCCTTCTCTGCTACCCACCCCCCTCCTCTTCCACTCTGTTTCCTGTTTCATTTTCTGGCTCCTGCTCTGACAGGAAAACAAGAAAGCTGAACCTTGTGCTCTCAAAGCCCTGGCTTGTCAGAATGGAGGAAGACTAGGTGGGATGGGAGGGGGTTCTAGAAGGGCCTTCAAGACTGCGGGCAAGTAATTGAGGAGGCAGCTCTCTCCAGTCTGCTTTTAGAGTCTGCAGCTAAAATGGAGCCTGCATCTACACAGGGAGCCAGCTGAGCAACCAGCACGGTGGGAAAGCCAGGGAGACAGACGTATCCAAGGGCTCCAGAACGACTCTATACCACCCGGTCACTTCCATTAAGAAGCAAATGTCCTATACCACCAACAAATGATTTCATAATACAAATTTCTGACCTAAACAATACAAGCAATGCATCACTGTTTCTAGAATCCTAGAAGGTAAGAGAGTTAACAGCATTTCTGTTTCTTGAACTTGCCTGGCTCTGCTCTTGCTGCTTCCCCTGCTTGAAATGCCTCACTGCTGGACCACCCTTTGGCCAGCCCACTACCTTCAGGTCTCAGCTGAAAGGTGGCCTCCTCAGAGAGGCTTTCTCCCACTACCCAGCCACATGCAGCACCCTGTACCATCCCATCACCCTGTTAACTGTTATCTCCATAGCACCTATCACCACCTGATTGTCCTGTCTATGAATTTTACTGCTTTCATTGTCTGTTTCCCTCTTATGGAATATAAGCTTGTGAAAGCAGGGGCCATGTTCACCAAAGTATTACCAGTACTTAGACCAGTGCTTTTGCACATTGTGTGTACTCAGTAAAGATTTGGTTGATAAATCAGTTTGTTTACCCTGATACCTATATTTTATGGATGTGGGAACGAGGCTCAGAAAAGGGAAGTGGCTAGCCTGAACTTACATAGCTGGTGGCTAAGGCAAGACTTGAATTCAGATTTCCAGGCTGGTTTTTTTTTTTTTCCTGCCACTCCACATTATTTTAAACTTTCTCAGGTTTACCTCTTTCTCTCTCTTCCTTTTGTTCCACACAACTGAGAATCTGACCAGGTTATGCCAAGAACCCTGCGTAGTGCACACCGCATCTTAACAGCTCCTACCTACTCTTTCCTCTACTAAATTCCCATCTTACTCCACAAAATAGGAGTGCCTACCATGTGACAGGGGATGAGGAGGATGTAGCACTGAACAAGACAGACACAGTCCTTGTCCTCATGGAGATGACAGTAATATCTACCTCATGGATTCTATAGCGCTTGGCCCAAAGTGCTCCGATGAAGATGGGCTGCTGTAATTCCCTGAACAAAAAGGGGAAAGAGCGATGTTCCCACTGGAGGTGTGAAGAAGGAAGTTCGGTAGTTCTCATGGAGCACTCACCATGCTGGAGCAACCTGACAACTTGTTTCTTTCTGTAGCACCTTGCCTGGCTCCAGGTACCATATCCAAAGATGGCTTTGGCTGCAGACTGGGCAGAGGAACAGACCAGTGTGTCCATTCTCAGTAATTCAGTTTCAGACACTAGACTTTCTATGGCCCCAGCCCTATGGGAATGATGGAATAGCTGACCCTCATCTTGGCTTTGATGCCACACCGTTATGGGACAAAAGTGACCACATTGGCTTCTGATTCTGTCACTGCCAACTTTAGCAGGCAGGGGCTAAAGCCTGTGATGACAGGCAGAACTTTATGCTCCATCTTTTCTCTGTGGGCATTCACTGGCAGTTTCCAAGGGTGTTGGGTGACATTCACATCCGTCCTGAAATTGGGGGTGGCACCATCAGGTTTTGGACATTCCATTTGGCCTCTGTTGTATCATTTGAACGTGTCCATCCACCGTGGGACACCCCACCCTGCCTCTCAATTGCAGGAGCCAAACACTGATCCTTTAGAGGCCACGGACACTAAATATTTTTCACCCTTCCTTCGGTGTTTGCCTTTCAGTACTTAGAAAACCTTGACCCGACTGAGGCCTAGTGGGAAGGGCCTTAGCCACTTGGGGGTGGCAGTGGCTGCAAGGCAAAAGAGCCAATGAGGTTGAGAGTATTGTTTAGGCCAGACTTGGCAGCTCTCCAGCTATGAAAGAAGGTTAAGGTCATTTGTGGGGGGGAGGGGGGGAGGGAGGAGCCTGGGAAAAGAACTACTGGCCACACCCCTGGGTTCTCTACTGGCGAGGTTCTATTTACTTCTCAAAAGCAAATTACTCACAGCTCAGTGGCTAGCAGTTCTCTCAGCCTGTGGTAACTCCAGTCCGAAACTGGAGACCAGGCTAGGCTTCCCCTGCATTGCAGGGGAGCAGATGAAAGGAACCCAGGAAACCAAACTCCTAGGTAATGCTCCACACAGAGCCCAGAAATGCACTTTCTACACTAGAAAATGGAGTTCAAGAGGCCCGGTACAAAACATAGCCATTAGCAACACAGCTCACCAAAATATAGGTATGAAAAGTTTCCCATGTAGTTTTTTTTCCAGAAGAGTCCTAGGAAGGCATCTCGGTTGACGAAGTTTAGCCCTTGTCTCTACCTCCCTCCCCCTCAATCAATAGAGGAATACTGATTATTCATTCCTGTCCCTGACCCAAATATTAACAACCACACTTAGCTCGATGAACACTTGATTGAAATTCTTGGGACAATTTTTACCTCATGCTGAATATGACAAAAACAAATCTTGCCGGCTGAGCTCCGCAGCTAGCTTCAGTTACTCCTGGTGGTCCTCTGACCCGGGAAGGAGGGCCGCAGTTGTGGGACCTCGCTTGGTGTATGTGCTCAAACCACTTTCCTCAACTGTAAAATGGGAACCGGAATACTGACTCGCAGGCACAATCCTTGCAAGATTACTTGATGGGCTACGTCTGGTACACAAGCAGGTACGCACTAGAAAACTGTTGTTTCGAGTTTCACTTCTAAGTGTCCACAACAATGGCATTTTCTCTGCTCCTTCCTCTGGTCTCTCCGTTGTTCCCCTAAGGAAGGAGATGAACAGAGATGCTATATATGGCAACATTCGCCTTATAAAAGTAACTGCATCTGGCCAACATCTACAGTTTCATTCAACAACTACTTAAGTGGTCACCCTGTGTTGTAGGACCCGGATGTAGCAGTGACCAAAATAATAATGCCCTCAGAGAGCTTACATTCTAGTGGGAGACGACAGGTGAGTAAAATATATGGTTGACCCTTGAACAACAGGGGGTTTGAACTGCCACGGGTCCACTTAAACAGATTTTTTTGATACAGTGCAGTACTATAAATGTATTCTCTCTTACTTATGATTTTCCTAGCATTTTTTCCCTCTTCCTTACTTGATTGTAGGCACACTGCATATAATACAGATAACATACAAGAAAGGTGTTGATCTACTGTTTATGTATCAGTAAGGCTTCCAGTCAACAGTAGGCTATTAGTGTAGGTTTTGGGGAGTCAAAAGTTATACATGTACTTCTT